TCCGACGGGAGGGGTAACAGTCTGACGATGAGGCATTTGAGGAGGATATCGGCGACTTTCGTCGCAGTCGCGGGCCTCGGGCAGCAGCAGATTTTCGACGCGGGGTTCGTTCTGATTATGGTGATGGAGCGGAGGAGACATAGCAGTAGCAGCGTGAGGGTCGGCGCCCGATAGATGATGGCAAGGACTCAAGTTGGGAATCGGGGCTTTCAGTTGACATCCCAGAATTTCACGGTAGTGTTGAGCCAGGTGATTTTGTTAATTGGTGGGCCGCTGTGGAATTGGTATTGACGTTCAAGGCGGTCCCAGAAGAGAGGCGTGTCGCGTTCGTCGCTACTCGTTTTCGTGGTCAGGCTGCGACTTGGTGGATGCATATTACTAGCATGCGGCATCGTCAAGGGACATCCCCAACTATTTCCTGGATGAAATTCTGTAAGTACGTGGAGGATGAGTTTTTGCCTTTCAATTACGATAGTGTCGTTTATCAGCAGCTGCATAATTTGAGACAGGGTACTCGTTCTGTTGATGACTATACTAACGAGTTTTATCAGCTGTTGAATCGGGTTGAAGTACGAGAGACAAAGTCTCAGCTGATTTCTCGATATGTCAGTGGGTTGCGGGTGGCTATACAGGACATGTTGAATATAGTCAAGTCGGAGTCCGTTTCTGATGCCCATCAACGAGCCCATCTTGTTGAGCAGCAATTAGCCCGGAGACCGGGCTCGATGTTTTCTTCTTCAACACGATCAGGACCAGCAACCGGCGGGCCATAGCAATCAAGCCGCTTTTTGCCATTGTCGGGAGTTGACGTTAGCAGCATGTCGGCACCTGGACGTTTTCCATTAGTGGGGTCTGGCAACCAACGGCAGCCGAGCATAAGCGGACCGCCTCCAGCGGCGACCAGTCAGCGTGCGGGTGGCGGGCTACGGTGTTTTGGTTGTGGCGAGCTTGGCCATCACCAGTCGGCCTGTCCATGGGGGTCGACATCACGTGGTTTATTTCTTGAGGATGGTGGGGAACATGAGGTGTCTGCCGATTATGATGGTCCCCCTGGTTTTTGATGTGGATCCCGGGTTAAGCGAAGAACATCATAGCGGGGATATGGGCTCGACACTTATTATTCGACGGGTGTGTTTTACACCTCATGCTCCCGTCGATGAGCCTGTGGAGCGCCATCAGATTTTTGAGTCGACTTGCACCATTGGTGACAAGGTATGCCGCTTTATTATTGACCATGGTTCTTCTGAAAATGTTATTTCACAGGATGCGTTGACAAAATTGGAGCTTTCGAGCGAGCCCCATCCTTACCCTTACAAATTGGCATGGATTCACTGTGACCGTGAAATTACTGTTGACCGTCGGGCTCTTATTTCTTTGGAGATTGGGGCTACATACCGGGACCAGGTCTGGTATGATGTGGTGCCCATGGATGCATGCCACTTGTTACTTGGCAGACCTTGGCAGTATGACATGGCTGCTACTCTTGACTGCAGACGTAACACTTACAGCTTCACTTTCGCTGGTGTTCGAATTAGTTTGCATCCTAGTCCTACACGTCCTTCACCTTCAGCTGGTTCTTCGACTGTTCTTTTTCTTTCACGGGCAACCTTTGAGGTCGAGATGCAGACAACACCATTTGTTCTTTATTGTTTGGGTCTGACACTACTGAGATTTTGGAACCGCCCGAGGCTATCCAGTCTTTGCTTTCTGAGTTTGTTGATGTTTTCCCTTCGGAGCTTGCTTCGGGTTTACCACCACTTCGAGATATTCAGCATCAGATAGACTTGATTCCGGGGGCTTCATTGCCTAACCGACCATACTACCGGATGAGCCCGGTAGAACACGAGGAGCTGCGACGTCAGGTGGAGGAGCTCCTTCAACGTGGTTTTGTTCGCCGAAGTCTAAGTCCAATGTGTTGACCAGCCTTGTTGATCCTGAAAAAAGACGGACCATGACTTATGTGTGTGGATAGTCGGGCAATCAACAAAATTACTGTCAGGTACCGCTTTCATATTCCTCGTCTTGATGACCTACATGATCAGTTGCACGGTGCCGCTATCTTTACCAAACTGGATCTTCGTAGTGGGTATCACCAGATTTGAATTCGACTAGGGGATGAGTGGAAGACAACCTTTAAAATTCGGGAAGGTCTTTTTGAGTGGATGGTTATGCCTTTCGGTCTTTCGAATGCTCCGAGTACTTTTTTGCGCATTATGAATCAGACACTTACAGGACCTTATTGGGAGGTGTGTCGTCATTTATTTCGACAACATACTTATTTATAGATGCACCGTTGAGGAGCATCTGGAGCACGTTCGGGAGGTTTTACTTATTCTTCGGGCTGAATCCTTTTGTGAAACCCTGAAGAAGTGTCTTTTTATGGTGGGCTCGGTTCAATTTTTGGGCTTTGTGATCTCTGGAGCTGGGATACGTGTGGACGACAGTAAAGTGGAAGTCGTTCGTGCTTGACCCACACTGGATTCTTTCAGGGAGGCACGCAGTTTCATGGCTTAGCTTCGTTCTATAGACGGTTCATTTCTCATTTCAGTTCCATCATCGCTCTGATCACGAGCTGCCTCACGGGGAAGACTTTTATCTGGACGAATGCAGACGAGGAGGCCTTTGATCTCATCAAGAGCAAGTTGACTCACGCACCGGTTCTCGTTTTACCGGACTTCTCGAGACCATGTGAGCTATCTTGCGATGCTTCGAAAGTGGGCATTGGTGGTACTCAGCCAGGACGGCCGCCCGATTTCTTTCTTCAGTGAGAAGTTGTCGGGCCCCAGATTGAGATATAGCACGTATGATGTAGAATTTTATGAGGTGGTGCGTGATGTGTGCCATTGGCGTCACTATCTGTTCTATCGAGAGTTCTTTTGTATACGGACCACGAGGCCCTTCGCCATCTTGCCTCACAGGATAATATTTCAGCCCGACATGCTTCTTGGACATCGTTCCTTCAGCAGTTCACGTTCGTCCTTCGGCACCAGTCGGGCACCTCGAACAGGGTTGTTGATTCATTGAGCCGTCGGGTGCTCTTACTGTCTGAGATGCGTGTGTCGGTGATTGGCTTTGAGGTTCTTTGTGATGTATATCCTCTTTGGCCCTATTTTGGCCCGATTTCTGGATGCCTCTTGTAAGGATTACACGCTCGCAAATGGGTTTTTGTTTCGGGGAGTTTGTCTGTCTGTTTCGGACTGCAGTTTGCGGCAGAAGCTTATTGTCGATCTTCATGGCACCAGTCACGTGGGCCGCGACCGATCCGTCGAATAGGTAAGTCGCTCTTATTTTTTGCCTTCTCTGCGCCGTGATGTTCGGTGTTTTGTGTCTCGCTGCCGTGTCTGCCAGATATCGAAGGGTGTTGCTACGAATGTCGGTTTATACCATCCCCTTCCTATTCCGTCACAGCCATGGCAGACAATCAGTATGGACTTCGTGTTAGGCTTTCCTCTTACACAGCGGGGTTTTGATTCGATTTCTGTTGTGGTTGATCGATTTTCGAAGATGGCACACTTCATTCCGCGTAAATGGACCATTGATGTTGTTCATGTGGCCCAATCATTTTTTCGAGAGATATACTGCCTTCTTGGTTTGCCTTCGGCGATCGTTTCTGATCGAGATACCCGCTTTTTGAGCTATTTTTGGAGGAGTTTGTGGCGTATGGCGGACACTAGACTTGACTTCAGCAGTGCCTATCATCCTCAGACGGACAGTCAGACTGAGGTGGTGAATCATTCATTGGGGAACTTGCTTTGTTGTTTGATGGAGATAACATTCGCAGTTGGGACCAACGCCAGAGTCTGGTGGAGTTCGCGCATAATTCGGCTCTTAGCCATGCGACCGGGTTCCTCATTTTCTGGTGGTGTACGACATACATCCGCGTGGGCCGTCCGGCTTGGTGGCATTACCGTCTGGCAGTAGTGGAGATCGTCGTGCGTCGGATTTCATCTCCGATGTGCAGCAGACACACGCGGCAGTCCGGGCCTAGTTGGAGGCGACTACAGTTTCTTATAAGAGGCAGGCTGATACTCGTCTCGTCACATGGAGTTCGAGGTAGTTGATTTTGTTTGGGTTATTTTGACAAAGGACAGATTTTTTGCACATGAGTATAATAAATTGTCTGCTCGGAAAATTGGTCTGGTTGAGGTTGTGGAAAAGATCAATCCCAATGTCTACCGCCTAAAGCTCCCATCACATATTCGCACATCTGGCGTTTTCAACGTCAAGCATTTGGTGTCATTCGAGGGTGACAACTCAGACGGTGACGAGGCCCCATTCGGATTCAAGGCAAATCCTCCTCAACCCGGGAAGGATGATGGAGACGAGGCCACGTTGGCGTTTCTACAGTAATATGACCGTCTTCGAGTTTAGATTATTTATTATTCGGTTTTATCAGTTGTCGGTTTATTAGCTAGTATGGTTTTCAGTTATGTTATTTTTATTAGTGGAGTAGTTATTTAAATAATTGAAGAAGTTGAAGAGTAGTGGGCTCTTCATATATGTACTCACTCAATAAACAATATTATTCGTTCATCGTATTATTATTTTGAGAAACAGAAAACTATTCTAGCATTCTTAATTTCTTTCGTATACATCCTCTACGTCACATATTGCACATATTGGACATATACACAAAGGATAAACTGTTATTGCATATTTAGTTTAATTATAATTTATAACATGATTGTATTATCAAGTCTTCGTAACTAAAAAAATATATTCATATATCAAATATAAATTATCAACAATTTTCAAATAAACATTAAAATCCAAATATTCACACAAACCAACCCAAATTCACGATATCCTCCCATGACCCGAACAACAAGATCAAAATTTAGGATCCGAAATCAAGGGCTTGGAAATTGAGGGGTCTGGAAATTGAGGATTCGAAATCGAAATTGCGAAATTGAGCATGGAAAGCCTGGGAATTGAGGATCCGAAATCGAAATCAAGTTTGTGCTACGGTTATCCAGCGGGATTAGGGTTCAATTTTCCAATCAAGGGTGATGAGGAATGCTGGGCGGCGGCAAAGGGAACAAGTGGTGAAGGTTCGCCGCCGTGGATCTAGCCGATTCGACTCCGAAGGTTGTTGAGGTTCCAATGGGCAAGAAAGCAACGACGAGAGGAAGAATTTTGGGGTCGGGCAAGCGAAATGAGGCAAATCGAGCCGTATGGGTTCTGACAGGGGTGATTGGTGTGGGGTCGGGGACAATCTCCTATGGACGAGGATGAGGATTAATGGAAGGTGGAAGTGAAGAAGATGAAGAATGTTAGTACACTTAGCAAATAAAATTTAGGATTTTAGCGTAATTACAAATTAATAAAATATCTGAAATTTTCTGAAGAAGACTCAAGTTGTGCTCATTGAATCTTAAGTTACGAGGAGAGGTCGAGGTCGACTCAACTCGACCTCTCCTAGTAACATACTGTATTCATTGAGTTCAAAATTAAAATTCTATAATGATATGTACAACGATAAAATTAAACAAAATTAAAAGTACGCCTAGGTAAAGTATGATATTTTTGCCCAGAGTTGATCTTACAAACGAAGCATTATTTTTTATTATTATTACTGGAGTTTGATCATCAAATGCAAACATCAACACAGACATAACTTTCATCTTAAGAAAGCACACAACAAAGACCACAGTTAAAACCAAAACACATTAAAGGAGAGAAAAACTAAGGACACAGAAAAACTTTCATCTCAAGAAAGCACACAATACACAGACCACGCTTCAAACCAAGAACATAAAAAGAAAATGAAGAACACGGAACAACGTAGATCTTCTCAAGGCGTCGCTATTTCCCATACGAGACACAATCTGTTACGTGAAATCCAATTCTTTTATTCTCGAGATCGTAAACAACTTCCACACTCTCTTGTTGGCTGCTTCCGAACACTCCTGAAGCTTCCGGATCATCATCCATTCTCTCGAACAACAAACACACGGGCCGAGTACCGTTTATCGGTGGGGCCACCTTATAAAATAGACTACCTTGGGGCAACGCGAGGCTCACATTGTTTAAGAAATGGAAAGTGATGGACGGAAGATCGTAGGGTTGAGTAGCGCTCACCGGAATTCGGTAGCAAAGGTCAAATCCGGTTCCAGCTTCTGCCGCCGGCGCCCGAGGGTATTTCACAACAGAACCAATCGCCTTACGAAGATCTGAATAGAACGGGTCGGGCAAATGGGTGGAACGTGTTCCCGAGTCGATTATCATGCCACCGTTCAACGACGAGTCAAAATGCCTTAGTATCTCGGGCGCAGGTATCGTGGTCGTGTTTCCCACGGTGATGCCCTCGAGACCGATGTAATAGAAATTTGGGTACAAGGGATTGTATTGCATTGGGGTGAATTGCATATATTCTTTGGAGGATATTGCTTGGTCACCTAGAATCAATGGTGTGGAATAATTAGGGTTGCTCGAGTAATCAAACGGTAAAAAGCAATGAGCGAACCCTTTCCCCAAAAATCCTAGTTGTGAAGGGAAAGATAGACGGCCTTTACCGAACCCTACAATTCCTATCGGCTCTCTATAAGTGGTGCGAACACAACCAAAAGAAATATTGGGATTATTACTACCGTCATTGTTATTATCTGGAAGGACCACAAGCGTGTCCCTCGTCATAGACCCGGCCACAATGCCATCACCATATTCGTAATTGAACGAAGGGCAAGGCCTGTCACACGTGTTGTTGAGTAAGCTAAACAACGAGCAACCCACTGCAGTGCACGTGTCGTGATAGTCTCCATTGCCATGAATGTCGGCACATATGAGACTTAAACAAGACTCTCTCGATCTTGAGGTGGATGATAAAGGATTGTAAATAGTTAAATTGAGGTTCTTATAGTAGTTGTTATCGCAACCCTGGCATTGGAAAGGGTTAGATTGGTTCCCGGAAGGCACCCATATAAGGTCGCTACCCGTGTCGAAAAATAGTTTTTGGATGAGTTGAGGGGGGGTTCCGAGTGAGATGGACATGACAAATCCATCGGGTATTTCTTTGATTGGGAGGCTTTGATTTTGCGATACTCTATCGGAGAAAGATGATGAAGAGCCATCTTTTGCCAACTTGGAATGAGTTAAGCTAAATGTTAGTGAGTTATAGGTGCTAGATTGGCTTGCATGGAGCTTGTAGAAAGTTAAGGCAATGGTGAATAGAAAAAGGGCATGAAAAGTTGGCATGTTCAACAAGGAGGACATAGTGTTTAGGTTAATGGAATTGAGAAACTAAATTGTGATTTTGAAATGTGAATGTGGAATTGGATTCATTGGTGTGGTGGTATTTATAGGAAAATGAGTATATTTTTAATCTTGGAGAAAATAGGAAGTGAATATATGTGGATTGATGCTTTATAATATTTAATGATGTTTGTTCATGATGAGGGTTTAGTACCACTTCCTTGAAGAAAAAAAAAAAAATACTTATCAAAGATCAATTGAGGGGGAAATTAATAGCGGTTTCCACTTTAACGGAAAGGAGATAGAAAATAACATTGTCATCTCAATTGCACTTTCTTCGAAATGTGAAAAAGACTTCCTCTCCTTTCTCTCACTAAAATCCTAGTCGATCCGTCGCTTTTAATTCTGCCGTTCGAATCTCCATTGCCGGACGTCTAGGTCCGTCGGTAGACGGCCTCCGTCGCTCGTCCATGGTGGTGCCGCCCTCGTCCCATGTTCTGAAGCTTCGTCCTGGGTTGCGTGTGGACAACAGAGGTGCTCCTTCTCCTTTGCTGGTCGCTGGATTCCAGGTTTTGGTGGTGATGGTCGTGGTGCGGTGCCGGTCCATGGACGAGGCTGGGTCCACTGCAATCGGCTTTTGTTGGGATGTGGCTACATCGCCCTGCTCGCCCTCCTCGCCACAGGTCAGGATATGCACCTTTTCGCCGGTGAAGCGACGATTGGCAGAGGCCTTTTCCAATTCGACACCCGGTTGTGTCAATTGAAGGTTTGCTCTTGCTAGTGCTGCTTTAGTCTCGGTTTTCTATTTTCTCCTCGATCGGAAGGAACTCTTTCCTTCTTGACGAGTTGAATTCGGGATTCACGGTTGGAGGTCGTTGTTACTGCTGGAGTTAGGAAGCTGCTTCCGGTTAGTGCTCGGCTGCCGGTTGTGTTTTGTCGATTCGAGCTGGGTTGTGTGGTCGCTGTTTCACGAGGGCTGACTCGGTGAAGCCGATCCGTGTTTATTCGCGTGATGGAGTGCGGGCCAGTTACTTGGTTGGTATTGGGGTGCGGATACCCGTCTTGCTAGGCCTTCTGCAGTGGTAGGCGGTCGTCTCTGTGCTCTGGTGCTGTCTTTGTAATTGGTTTGTCTGTCGTAAATCTAAATGTATCTGGCAGGGGAGGCTGTGTTCTCCTTTTTGTTTTTGTTGTAGTTTTGTTTGGTTTGTGTTTTTGCTGTATGTTCTATGTTCTTTGGTCCTGTATTTTTTGTCTGGGCCGTTAGCCTCTCTGCTCTTGGGTGTCATCTTATTACCCTGTTGGAGTCCGACACCCGGTATTACCCTGTTGGGGTCTTTGTGTTGGGTTGATTGTGTTTTTTTGTGTTTTTATTGCCCTTTTGGGGTCGTGGTCGAGTAGTTGGTCTGTTTAGTTCGAGTTTTTATTCTAGCGTTGCTAGCGGGATTCTAGGCGGGCTTCTGACCTGTCCTCTTATTTTTTTCTCCCGTTAGGAGCTTTGTATTTTTATTCGCACATTTGTGCGCTTTTGATTTATAATAATTTCTCTGTCGTTCTGAAAAAANAAAAAAAAAAAAAAAAAAAAACTATTAAAAATAAAGGCGGCAATTAATAGACTGCAATCTTTATATCTAATATAATCATTAGATTTTATATAAGTTACCTTCAAAATTTCGAAAACTTTCATCATTTCTTCCCAAATGAAGAAAAACAAAAAGAAAGAACGACAATCCTCAATGCTTTATTCTAAAAAAATAGTAATATTATGGAGCAAATTATATACAGCATCTTATTATGACTGGTGTTGTAGAGAAAAATCTTTTACATTGAAATTGGATTTTTTCACTCATCCAAAAATTTATTCACTTTCACCTGCTTTTTTTTACCATCTACAACTACTAGACATGTCCACGGTTCGGCATGAAATTAGCCCGTAATTTTATCCTGACTAGTTTAGGCTCATGGGTTTTCATAATTTGAATCGCTTGTTCCGGTTCCGAACCAGAATCGGAACCAAAATCGGCAGTTCGGTGATTTTTATTTTATTATTTCGTTATTATCATTTTTAATCTATTGGTTTGGTCCAAAATCGGTGGGCCGGTTCTGGACCAGAAATATCAAATTAAATGTAGTTTATTATATAAAATATTTATCCAAAAATATTTTTTTAATACAAGTAGTATTTTATTATCTTGTTATTAATTTTTTATTATTGCTCATATTTCAATAATCCTCCCTATATAAAATTTTTGAATGCGCTGAGCCTACGTGGTTGATTCTGGTGCTTCGTAATCTTATTTGGCGAAGAATCGCTTCGTAATTAGGTTTAGACAAATAATATTGATATATTAATAATTAATATCTAGGTTCGGGTATTCCATAAATATTATTTGGCTAACTTAAGTATTTTAATATCACTTTTACTAATATAACATTTTAATTCTTTGTAATTTTACATAGTGAGGTACTAAGTGACTTATATATCCTTGGATTTTGATTTGCTTCCTTCAATAAGCTATTGAATTATAAATGTAATTTAAAAGTTGATAATTTTTGTATTTCTCATTGATTTTACATATATAATATATCAAATTAATCATCTTTTGATGATCTTCGATTTGACATCCATATTGTATATATGAAATAAATAAATATCTTTATAATAGTAAAAAATAATAAT